AATAATAATATATTCATTTTTACTAGGATCTGGTTCCAATAAGTAAAATAGAAAAAAAGACACTAAAAAATGAAACAGTTTATGTTCTCAAAATCACAATATTTATATACAGTATATTATACAATATTATATATATATATTATTTTCGCATATTGGCATTTGTAGCAGGTGCCAGAGAAAGTTCTGATTCTTTTGCATTAAAACCACGTGTCACATACTGTGTTTCATTGGCATTTTTTCAGATTCATTGTCATTTCTGTTTATTTGTTGATATCTTTGGTTTTTAAATTGGTTTTCTTCAACTTGGTTGAAAGTTTTGGTCCTTGACACCATTTAATTTCACCAATTTTTGTTTTTAGTCAGTTTTTTATGCAATGAGCCAGAATTGTTGAATGGACTGGGTCTTGATCTGTATCCAATGAAATAAAGAACATGCATTTGATAGTTTTTAAACCTGCTGATGTAGTCAATATACATCAATATACGCATCATCTAGGTGGGTGCTGCACATTGGTGGTGGTGGAGGGGAGTAGTCCCCATTACCTGTAAAACAATTTGAGTGGAGTATCCAGAAAATGTCAAGTGTAGCAATTAATAATAATAATATTAAATTATGCTTTCTGTAAAATATCAAAGGGATTTATAGCAAAAACTAACCAAACTTTGAAGTGGAATTCAAAGGATTTTACATGATCAGCTTTAACATGGTATGGCAAAAAATACATAGTGCAACTTGTTTCTTGCCATTTCCACACCCGGTGCTCTGCATTAATGTATCTGATGTATTTTTGTACATACAATATCTGATTTCACTGTTTAGGCTGATTGGTATATTACCTTAGTAATAAAAATGTCCATTTGCCATGCTGTTGAAAGACTGTGTAGTTCTAATTAATAAATTAATATGGAAAGACATTGCTATAAATTCAGCCACATTCTTTTATTCTCATTCTTTATGTCACATAAAGGCTTTCTGATACAAAATTATTAGGAACACATGAATTCTTAAAAAATATTTTATGTTAAAATTAAGCTGATTTGACCACTTTTACTGTAAAAATAGACAAGTTCAGTACATGTTCTGTATTGGAGGTTTGCAGAAATGCAAAACTCATTAGCAGGATTTCATTTAAGATGCAGAAAAAAGACTTGCATAAGAGTGCTGTTGTAGAGACAACTTTAGTATTTTTCAATGGAGTGACCTTAAATATGTGGTCAGTTTTCTGCTTGCTTGCTGTGAAATTTGTAATAAAAAAAGTGAAAGTTGTAATAATTCTTTGTTTGTTTGTATTTCAGGACCTCCAGTAAGTACAGTGGACTTCCTTATTCTGGCTGGTTAGATTTTTATTTTCAGTCTGCAGTCAGGGGCAGGTTTCTAGGCCAGTCTTTGCTGTTTTCAAAGGCTTGGTTAACCCATATAGCTTCTGGTAAGAAAATGATTACCAGATGATACACATCACTTTGTAGATGCGGGGACATTACATTGCTTGCAGTCATCTAACAATATCCTGTAGCACTTAAGATGCAATTTAAACCAACAAATGTAATGGCAATAAACAGGATGTTTATCTCAACAAGGGAAACATTGGAGCTCATAATGAGATGGTGATGGGTACAGCTGTCACTGTGAAAGTGTTTTCTACTTTTTCCTGCTATTATTCATGCATGTGCTTTATTATTAGCTAAATCGTTGTATCCCAGCAGTCAGAGGGGATGAGCAGCAGTAGCAGCCAAGAGTTTTAATAATTGAATTAAGGGATGTTATTTCAATTATTACAGTACATCCTTCATCACAGATATTTATACTGTAAGGAACAGTCTTGGTAGCTAAAGCCAAACGTGTGTTTCATTCTTTCCTGTAAGCCAATGTTAATAATGAATTACAGTATTTTAATAATAGAAGACACGTGGTTCTATATGAGTTGATCCGTTTTATTTAACATTATTTTTAACGCCTCATTATGATATTATTTTTAATGCCTCATTATGAGTGTCTTTCTGTAGCTTGCTTAAGTAGCCAATCTTTTTGATTCAGCTACAGAACAAAACTAATGTTATCCTCTTATTGCTCCACACACATGAACAGAACAATGTATTTACAATGATAAAAACATCACTTTTCAAATGTCTGTTACTCAGAGCACTTTATGAATTAGGTAGTTACTTTTTTTGTGATTTTAAAACTTTTTGGTCAGAAAAGCGATTTGCTGGCTGTGAAAATATTGTTTTTGACAACAGCAGAATATATACAGTAGTATAGTATTCATTAATGGTTATTTGTATGACATTAGCTGAGAGGTTCTACAGCCATCCCACTTCATCATATCTTAGCAAACAAGATAAATAGACAAAGTAGGCAGGAAATGCATGTCCTAGTAAAGAAATAATTGAATCTTCATTTGATGGAATCCTAAAGCACCGCCTGGAACTCAGAGTTCACACAGTATCATATGATGACATTTCAGGGAAATGTATAGTGAGACATCCATTCAGACCATTATAGTGAGAAGGAAAGCCATGTTCTGCACATGTAGGTTGAAAGACTCTAAAATGTAAAAAAGGGTCACCCTTGCTACAGTACTTAAAGAACTTGGAAAATATTGTTATGTTATGTGTTGCAGTATATGTCCCCGCCTCACTGAACGTACTCTTATTCAGTTATCCAGTCAACTTAACAAATCGTCATCCAAATAACCCTCAGGATACAGGCTGATGTTTCATTTTAGATTTTTATTTGGATACTTCTTTGTGAAACTGTAAAATACAAAGAAAAAGGCTTGTAGAAGCAAACACGAATCTCAGTGAGTTGAGCATAGTTACACCGCTAGATAACAGGCTAACAGACTGCAATGTCAAGCACGAATGATAAAGACAATACTAGTATGAGTGAGCTACGCATAAACTTTGCTAACACTATGCTCAACTACATACAGAATGAATAAGCGAATGCTACCGGTTTACATTACGATACAAACAATAATATCACCAAATAACTTGCTGACATGAGAAAAACCCTGCTGAAAAAGAAAATGAAACTTACAGATGATGCTGTTTTAAGGCCTATAGTAGATGGATGAGGATGAACTAGTGTCAATATTACCGTGATGCGCTCTTGATCTTTAGTGCCTTAAACCACTGGTTCTCAAACTGTGGTCCGCGTACCTGCAGTGGTACGCGGAGTGCCACCAGCTTGTACGCCATATGACCCTGGAACTGTGTTGTGTGCGCTAAAAAATCGGGACAGGTTTTCATATTTTCGATTTTAATACGTGTCAAATATGCAGCCTACGTACTAAGATACAGAGAGCGCTTATACTTGAGTGGACACAGAGCTACAATGTAATTCTATACCACTCTATAGAATGCATACTACGAACTTAAGTGACCAATTGTATTTAAAAAAAGTTATCTCCAGCAAAAAGGAAGGTGGGAGAATGTGCATGATCTTGGAACAATGCCAATCTTGTAAGCATGGGAAAGCATGATAGATAACAGAAAAATATTTAAGGACTGTTCTGGGTTAGTTTGAGAAAAATACATTAAGTATCTCTGTTTCACGTCCATGCGCATGAAATACAAACTTCTGAGACGGACTTCTGACTGCCTTTAAAGGGGAAACAGGAAATATTTTTCCAACATCGTCAACAATTGATTGAAAATGAATACTTTGCAAAAATCAAGTATTATGTCCTGGCTGAAAGGAATAGACACCGAGAGTAATGATGCCAGCTCCGACAGATCACGCACACCTGTTGAGATTGAGGAGGATTATACATCGGCCACTGACACAAACTCTGCTGCTGAACCTGCTAGTGTTAGCAAGCGTCTGAAAATGGCTACAAGCCGGTACGATCCAAATTATCTAAATTTGGGATTTACTTACACCGGGACAAAGGAAGGGCCAAGACCACAGTGTGTCATGTGCTGTGAGATTCTCAGCAATGAAAACATGAAGCCAGCACATTTAAGGCGGCACTTTACCACGAAACATGCGCTCTTGAAGGATAAGCATGTTGATTTTTTTCAAAGGAAACTTAAAGATCTGAAGCAGCACAAGTACACCATAAGGAACAGTGCCACTCCAATTTCCAAAGCCCAAGAAGCATCTTACTGTGCAAGCTTGTGGATTGCTAAAGCAGGTAAGCCTCACACTATCGGTGAAGAACTTTGTTTACGGTTGGCAAAAGAGCCGATACTTATTATGTGTGGAGAAAAAACTGCTAAACAGCTCGACCTTGTAACCCTTTCGAATGACACAGTCACTCATAGAATTATTAATATGGCGGATGATGTCAAAAGTACGCTGATAGAGTGCGTTAAGATGAGCAGATGCTTTTCACTGCAATTAGATGAGTCTGTAGATGTCGTCAATTTGGCAAATTTGCTTGATTAACGTTAGATATGAGTTTGAGGGCATGTCGCATGAGGACTTTCTGTTCTGCAAGCCGCTACTGACTAGAACTACAGGAGAGCACATATTTCAGCTTCTGAATGAGTTTATTGAAGAGAATGACATTGACTGGAAAAAATGCATTGGAGTTTGTACAGACAGTGCTAGAGTAATGACAGGCAGACACAGCGGTGTTGTTGCACGAATTAGAGAGGTTGCTCCAGATATGAAGTGGACGCACTGTAGCGTCCACCGCGAGGCCTTGGCAGCCAAGAAAATGCCTGAGGACTTGAAATCTGTGTTAGACTCTGCTGTCAAAGTTGTGAATTTTATCAAGGCTCGACCAATGAATTCACGTCTGTTCAGTGTGCTTTGTAATGAAATGGGCAGCGAACATGTGCAGCTTTTGCTACATACTGAAGTGAGATGGTTATCAAGGGGCAGAGTGCTCACGAGGCTCTTTGAGCTTCACTCTGAGGTACAGATGTTTTTGCATGACCAGCAATCTCCCTTGGCAAGTCTATTTGATGATCCGGTGTGGCTGGTAAAATTGGCCTACCTGGCTGATATATTCACACGTTTGAATGAGCTAAATATGGGACTACAGGGGCACTCTTTAACAATTTTTGATGTGCCTGACAAGATCACTGCTATGAAGAAAAAGATGCAACTTTTTGTTAATAAAATCAACGCAGGTGATCTGTCTGCTTTCCCAACTCTGGAGAACCATCTGCACACACATGGTGTGGAACTTGATGCTGCTGTTCGAGATGTGATTGCAGTGCACCTCTTGTCATTGAAAGAACAGTTTTCAGAGTATTTTCCAGTTGAGGCCACACCAGAGTAGATCAGGAACCCGTTTACTGTTGATGCCAAAGGAATACCCAAGAATCTCTCCTGTGCTGAGCAAGAGAAGTTGCTCGAGTTATCAGCTGATGCGACTCTGATGTCAGAATTGAAACGACAGTAACTGTTGCACTTCTGGATCCAAAGACAGAGTGAATAACCAGCCCTCTCATTAAAGGCTGTGCAATTTTTGATACCTTTTGCTACTACCTACCTTTGTGAGAAAGGCTTCTCTGCTCTCACTGCAATCAAGACAAAGTACCACAGCAAAATGGATGCTGAGCCAGATCTGCGTTTGAAGCTCACTGCCCTCATCCCGGGCATTGCAAGGCTTTGCTCAACTAAACAAGCTCACCCCTCTCACTGAAATGGTAAGTGCTCAGTGTTATTTTTATAACAGTGTTTCTATTTTTATTATATGTGTATGTAAGAGTGTACCTGCGCGCTCATGTTGATCATTGAAATTTTCTGTGGTTCCTATGGGAAGATGACTTGTAGGTGGTACTTGGATGCTTTGGTTTGATCAGGGGTGGTACTTGGTCCAAAAAGGTTGAGAACCACTGCCTTAAACTACTTCCTTAAAATTAACTTCCTGTTACGTCTCTGTGATAAATCAACAAAAGCTGAACTTTTTAGAACATCCACTGGGTGTCGCTAAAGGTTAACAGATGTCAATACACTCCCCGCCTGGTATCATTAATATGATACCACTACTAAATAAAAACTAAACCACCTATTCTGGATAGAAGAGAAATAATAGCTTTGAAATGGGTCTGGAGAATACTTTGGACAGCCCTTGCTGAATGACTTTCACCTCCATTTTCCTGACCATCCCATCTTTGCTGGGATTAGCCTCCACAACAGTTCCCATTGGCCACTCATTTGTCCTGGCCTGCTCGTCCTTCAGAAGAACTATGTCACCTTTAGGTTGGGCTGTTGGAGCTGCCATTTCTGATGTGTCTGCAAGGTATTCTTTCTTCCATCTACTCCAGAAGGTATCCGCCAAGCTTTGTGCACACTTCCACTGATGTCTGAACAGGTCTCCTTTGCTTACCTCTGTGCATGTTG